GGGTTTTCCGACGCTACTAGCTTCATCGTTCGGTTTACAAACAAAGAAATTGAATCTTTGACACAAACTCAAATTTTCCAATTTCTAAATCTTTGAAACCTGACCGCGTAAACCTTTGATATTTCAATTTGAGATTATTTGATCTAACATTTCAGTTTAAAATATCTAATGTCTACGAGATTGGGTTTCAAAGATATAGGGATTAGAAAATCTGGGTTTCTTGCAAAGACTAGAATTAATAAGAGGCGACTATTTATGACTGCAGTTTCAAGTAACCTTAATTTTAAAAAAGAGAGACATGTCCGATTCACAGCGGTACACTGAAAAACTATATTTGATAAATAATGTAGGAAAAGTGTTTATTGTTTCTAAAGCAGAAATGCTCAAGTCACTTTTTCCGAGAAACCACAAAAAAGAGTAGATAATGGCTATCTTAAGCATTCCTAGCTTTCAGACAAAGCTTTTAAGGGTACCGTTGTGAATTTTAAATGTCACTCTAAAATTAGAGATTCACTTGAAATAACGTCAACAGTTCCTTTAACAGAATAGTTGCCGGTGTTTCCTTGACTGTTGACTGGACTCTGCTTGATTTAACAAAAGCTGTGAGTTTTGAACTGATGCTTCCAACGACATCTTCTAACAACAAAACCAAGTTAAAATCCAGCGCTGGAATCCTTTTCACAAAGGTAGTGTAACTAATATGTCATTTCATTGAAAGAAACTGATTCCAAAAAGGGGGTATGCAATTTAAAATGCATTTAAAGAGACTTTTAAAGAGGTAAAGGCTAAAACCTAGAAATTTTAGAAGTTGATCGCGACCAATATTTATTTAATAAGTATATGTTTAGGATATATTGAGGGCAGTAACACTGGATACAAAAAAAAAACAAATAAATTTATGTTTAGGATATATTGAGAGCTGTGATGTTGGATACATACAAAACTAATGATTCATTTCTTTCAGGTCAAATTCATCTTCCCATATTTACTTATTGAAAACTAGTCACTTTAATCTTAAAGTTTTCCTGTTTGAAATTTTTATTTTGCACTTTTCCTTTAACCATTTTTTGGTAATTTTGGTGACGTGTCCCTTTATGTTTAGGAAAATATATATCAGCTACACTGCAGGAGATAGTTTCAGACGAAGCTGTTCAGAATAGATCTGCCAGGCAAATATTCTTCTTGTAAGCGTAATTGTATGATTCTCCATCCCCGATTTACTCCTGAAACCTTAAGCTGATTAATAATTCGAAAGATAATGTAGTTATTCTGGCTCGAAAAGGGTTAAATTCAGATATTTCTACATTGCTTCTTAAAAGAAAAGTATAGAAAAATTAAAAAAAAAACAAGATTAACAAATAATTGGTTTAATTTGTCAGATTGTTTTTTATTAGTATTTGCAGTTTGCACCTCTTTTAATTAAAATCATTTGTATGTCATTGTCAAGCTGTCAACTGAATTTTCTGTATAACATTCTAAGTTTCTAACTGATACAAGAATAGACAAATCAAGGCCAGTTTCTTGTTTAACTTTGCGAAACAAATCCATCATTTACTTTCAAGAGATACCGGGAGCAAATCAATTTTCAGAAAGAATCCCAAATATATCTCAGAACTAATTTATTCTACTCTTAACTGAAGCCAATGAAATTTGATTAATTTTGTAAAAAAAAGATAGAATTATATTGAATTTAGTGCCTACCACCCAAACCATATCAGGAAAACAAGGCATATGCTTAGTTTCAGGTACATTTCAACATTTTAATATTTATATTATTATTTTTTTGCTTTTTTCACAAATAAGATATTCACGAAAAAATAAGAATCTATGAATAGGAGTAAATTTTGGAGAGCAAAAAAGTCTTTAGATTAAAAATCACTTTGAGAATCTTAAATTTATGAAATCTTCTTTATTCCAATTGATTGCAGGAAAATCTATTATTCTTATTTTTTTATGTTAACAAATAAACATCATAAAAAATTTTGTTGGTTTTAAAACAATTATCAAAAAAATAATAAAAAATATTATTATGATTAGTTGTGGGTTGATTGTAAAAACNCAACCTTAAAACCTTTATCTGATCAATAATGTGGAAGATATTGTCGTTTTTCTTAGTTTAAAAGTGCTTAATTCTGATAATTCCTATACATATTCCTGCATGAAAAGAGAAACCACAATAGAAATAATCCGTTTTCAAAATTATATCTAATTCATATTTTTTCAGACAAAGCTTTTAAGAATACCATTGTGCATTGCCTTCTTTGTACGGAGGTTAATATAAATTTGGCTTACAGTCCCTTTAATCCGTTTTTAAAACTTTGGAAACAGGAGAAACTCTATATTTGATCAGGATAAGTCGGTTGGGACAGAAGAGAAGAATGAGACTGAAAAATTCAGGAGAAAAAAAATTAAGAATGATGCTTCAAAAATAAAGGTATTGAATAATGATATTTGTGACTAACAAACATATTTTTGTTTATCAGACAGTTGCAATAAACATATGTTTTGTTCTTGGATCATTATATGGTACAGGGGTACCCATGGTCACATAGTATAAGACTGTAAAGACGATCTAAAACTTTTAAAGAATGACGTTCCCAAGGTTCACAATAACCCTGAGGCAGAAGCCCAAAGGAGTTACGCGTAGTCGGCGTAGAACTGGCTTTCTCTCTGCCTTTTCTACAGAAAGAGAGAGCCTGTTCTCAGCCGACTACGCGTAACTCTAGAGATATTGTGAACGAATACATAAATCATAATATAGTGTCCTATCTGCTATTTTAATTAATCTATGGATATAGTCCTTTAATAGCTTATTATTTGGTCAAGCAAAGAAACAAAACAAGTTTAAAGTTGCAGAGAATCATTGCTATGTTTTAGGTACATTGGACTATTTAATCTTAAATCTATTAGTCGTCTTCCTATTCCACAGATTTATAGGTCCCACTCTATGCTTTACTTAATTTTTTTCGGTCATTCTCTTAAAATTCTAATTTTTTATTGTTCGATAGTAAGTGCCGTTTTTACAGGGTTTCCCCACAAAGTATACGTTAAAGACGACTGCGGAGAATTGTTTGAGTTTATTTTCCATGTGAGTGCCACAATGTCTGATAGATTGTTTCTTTTACACTCTGTATAGGACAGTGCTGGAGAAACCCCGGTCCCAAACAAAGACGACTTATCATCAGAAGAATTTGAAACTAAAGCTGCTGCTGGAGACACAGACGAGATTTTTATGGATTTAGTTTTGAAACAAAGAATTGCAAGACGGATTGTAAGGTGAAAAATTCATTTAAATAATAAAGCTCTGCGCTCATGTATATATATTTTTATATTTATATGTTAGCTATAGCTGGCAAAACGGGGGTACCCTGGGTAACATAAGATAATAAAAATAGTAAAATCGAAATTTTTTTCTTCAAAACTCGATTTTTTCCCAAATATCGATTTTCAACAATTCCACGCACAATGCCGCACACTTCAGCTAGTATAGTAAACTTATGTAAAAAACTATACTTGAAGAACTGGACCATATAAGGCGTATTACGCAATAGCGAAACATTTTATCATTAATTAGATAATATTATAATCTTTCTTGCTGCATCCCTTAACAAAAAATAGAATTGGTATGACAACATTGTTTTTTTTCCCAACACCTGTCGTGTTAATATTGAAAAAGAATATTTTATTGCAGCAAATATTACCAGGGGCGTATTCAGGAATTTGTCCGGGGGCTTACATTTTTTATCTTTCCAGGGGGGGCTCAGCACCCGTTGGGGCCTGAAAACCCCCTGAAATCAATAGATTTAACTGGTTCAGGGGGGGCTTAGCCCCCATAGCCCCCCCCCCTGAATACGCCTCTGAATATTACCATTATATAGTTATAGCTGTAAATTTTACTAAGACTAGCACTCTTTCGCTAATTGCAGCAAATATTACCATTGTATAGTTATAGCTATAGATATAGTTATGCCCATTCGATAATCAATATGCCTTTTCTATGTAGATAAATAGACAATTTTTATTAAAATCAAAATTGAACGGAAAAACTCTTTCGCATGGGAAATCAAAGGGTGTTTCCAGTTTTCTTGATTTTTTATTTTTCTTTAGGAATTTCCGAGAGAAACGAAGAAGAGAGAATTTTCTAGATTTAATTTTGAAAAAAAGAATTGCAAGACGAATATTAAGGTAACATT